TGTTTCCCTTCTCTTCTCTGCTACTTGTAAGGCCTCGTTGGACATCCACTTTGCTTTCTTGCATTTCCTTTTCTTTGGGATGGTTTTTGTTGCTGCCTCCTGTACAATGTTACGAGCCTCCATCCATAGTTCTTCTGGCACTCTGTCCACCAAATCGAGTTCCTTTAATCTGTTCTTCACTTCCACTGTGTATTCATAAGGGATTTGCTTTAGGGTTTCTCCTACTTTCTTCAGTTTAAGCTTGAACTTTGCTATAAGAAATTATCAGAGCCACAATCAGTTCCAGGTCTTGTTTTTGCTGACTGAATAGAGCTTCTCCATCTTTGGCTGCAGAGAACATAATCAATCTGATTTCGATATTGCCCATCTGGTGATGTCCATGTGTAGAGTCTCCTCTTGTGTTGTTGGAAAAGAATGTTTGTGATGACCAGCTTGTTCTCTTGACAAACGCTATTAACCTTTGGCCTGCTTCGTTTTGAACTCCAAGGCCAAACTTACCTGTTGTTCCTTTTATCTCTTGACTCCCTACTTTAGCATTCAGTCCTCTGGAATGACAAGAACATCTATATTTAAATAAGAATACACTGTACAAAAATAACAATAAAAATACAATCCTCCAATATAACATACACCACAAGAGCATCAGATCGTGTTACTTAATTGAATTAGCACATTTTTCCAGAAGTCAATATGAGAGGCTTGGGGATTACTAAAATAATAAGTATAATTTAAAGTGGAGGCCACCCACCATGAGCTCTCTCCGTTTTTTGGATACAGTGCATCAAGCAGAGATATCCAGCTCTCCGCCTTGCCTGGTGAGTCTTGATCTCTTTCAGCCTGTGATGCCAGATATTGTGGACAAAGCACTGGTCACTGTCAGGCCACCACCTCATTCCTTGACCCTTGCCCGGCCTGGCTAATCAAAGCAGTCAGGCCTATAACAACTGAATGGGCCACAGCAATAATTAATGAGTCTTTCCTGGAGGGCAGGTTTCCTCTTGCCCTCAAGGAGACACTCATTAGGCCCATTAGGAAGAAACCAAATTTGGCCGCGGACAATATTGGCAACTATAGGCCCATCGCCAATCTTTCTTTCATTAGTAAAGTGCTGGAGAAGGTGGTGGCCGATTAGCTTCAGGTTCATTTGGATTAAACAAATGCCCTGGATCTGTTTCAGTCGGGTTTCAGGCTGCCCCAAGGTACAGAAACGGCATTGGTTGCCTGGTTAGATGACCTACTGAGGGAGGCCGATGGGTGAAATGTCTCTGTTGGTTCTCCTCGATATCTCAGCCACCTTTGATACCATCGACCACGGTATCCTCATGAGGAGGCTCTCCGAGCTGGGAATTGGTGTCCTGGCATTTGCCTGGCTCCGTTTGTTCTTGGAGGACTGTCCTCAGAGAGTACAGCTTGGGGAGAGGGTTTTGGCCCCATGGAGCCTCAATTGTGGGGTCCCACAGGACTCGATTATCTCTCCAATGCTGTTTAATATCTATATGAGGCCGCTGCATGGGGTCATCAGGGGGTGTGGGGCATCGTGCCATCAGTATGCTGATGACACTCAGCTCTACATCTCCTTTTCTCCAACCACAGTGGATGCCATTTTGTCCCTTCAGCACTGTTTGGAGACTGTACTGCAATGGATGCAGGAAAATGGGCTGAGACTGAACCCAGACAAGACGGAGATCCTGAGGATTGGTGGCCCCACCATCAGCGGTTTGGGAAACTCCCTCTCATGGGGGGGTTGACTCTCACCGCGAAGAGTAAGGTTTGCAGCTTGGGGATCCATCTGGACCCGGTGCTCACCATGGAAACCCAGGTGGCATCAGTGGTCCGCTCTGCCTATTTCCATCTTTGCCGGATTGTCCAGCTGCATCCCTATCTTGATGTTGGAACGCTCCCCACTTTGGTCCATGCGCTTGTAATCTCAAGATTAGACCACTGTAATGCGCTCTACGTGGGGCTACCTTTGAGATTGATGCAGAAACTTCAAATGGTGCAGAATGCGGCAGCCAGACTTCTCAGTGGGGTGAGAAAACATCAACATATCTCTCTCACCCTGGCCAAATTGCATTGGCTGCCTGTTCATTTCCACATTGATTTCAAAGTCTTAATGATTACATATAAAGCTCTAAATGGTTTAGGACCTCAATATCTGGTGGAACGCCTCCTCCCACCTAGATCTACCTGTATCACTTGATCTAGCCAGGAGGTGCAGCTGAGGAGCCTAACGCAGCAGGAGGCCCAGAAAGAAAAAAACAAGAAACTGAGCCTTGTCGGCAGTGGTTCCTCGTCTTTGGAATAATCTCCCCTCCGAGATTCGTGTGGCCCCTTTGCTAGGTATTTTCAAAAGCCAACTTAAAACCTGGCTATTTAGGCAGGCCTTCCCTCTGGGCACCACTTGATCTATTTTTTTCTTTTTCTCCCATTTTGAATGATTGTTTATTGTTGTAAATTGTTGTTATATTTTAATTGTTCTTATTCCACTTGCTGTGAGCCACCCAGAGTAGTCAATGGCTAGATGGGTGGGATATAAGTATAATAAATAAATAAAATAAAACACTAAATAAAAGGAAGCAAAGTTTTACGAAATGAGTCTGTGCTGGAATTGTGGTACCTTAATCATGACTGTCTAGTGAGTTTTTCTACCAGTGCTAATTTCCATATTTTAGATTGTCAAGCATTTATTGACTTTTCTGCAGCTGCTTTCCAAGATTAAGCAATCATTTGTCTAGCTGCTACCTAGAGAAATAATTAACTCTTCCTGATGTAATAATGTATTGAAGTCCAAACAGAAATTTATTCCTTGCCATGCTGGAGTCATAACAATCCTTTGTGATGTTATCTTTTCAATTTTATCAAACACTTTCACCCCAAAATTAAATATTCTAGGGCAGTGCCAACAGGAATGTAAATATGTACCAGTTGCTTTGCTGCCTCTCCAACAATTTAGATCCAGATTTTTGTGTAATTCAAATTGAGTGGAGTGCATTACCATCAAGTTGGCCACTGAGGCAGTGCTCTCTTACAGATGCTGAAATGAATATAAACGTTTTTTTTCACTCCACAGCCTTTCCCACTCTTTGCCTGTAATAGTAAATCCACAGTCTTTTCCCCAAAACATCTTCGAGATCCTTCAGATCTAAAATGTATTAATTAATGTAGGATAAATCTTGGCATTCAGGCCCTTATAGTTGTCATTAATCAATAGTATTATATTTTGCATTGGTATTAGAAGTTCACCAACTACTACTCTAATCTGAGGTAGGCAAATGAATTAGTTATTTGTTGAATTTAAAACCATGACATTTTTATATGACCAAGTTGCACCAAAAGTTGAGTCCTAGTTTTTTGTGTGTTGCCTAAGATCAGGTCATTGAAACTAAGGCACTTTCCTTCCAGATGCTAGACAGCAACCATTTATCATTGTTTCAAAACAGAGGTTGACTTGAGAAGGGGATGAGGGATAGATGATAATAATCTTGTCTTCCATTCACCCAAATTCATTAAAGAGAATATTCAAAAATGGGCTTTATGTAGAGATGGGGGTATTTTGTATTTGTATTTGTATAGAGAGGGGGGCATTTGATATACGAATATCCCAATGCAGCTGGAGTTAATGAGGGTCTGGCCTCTTGGGCCAGACCGTCCACTCACACGTCCGCCGCTGCCGCCCTCACTCATTCTTCCAATTGCTCCTGAGCACTGTTCTCTTCTCGGTTGGCTACCCACTCCTGCTGAGTGGCTAGCTCAGTGACATTCTGGAGCAATTCGAACAAAGAGAGGGGCCACCGCCACCAGATATGTGAGTGAATGGTCTGGCGCCAGGGGCCTGACCCTTGTTAACTCCAGCCGCACGGGGATATTTGTATTCATATACGAATATGAATACCTCCATCTCTAGTTTTATGCATATATTGGAGTTTTTTTTCCCCCTAAGGAGAAATGGAATTCCGAATAGTTTTTTCCAGCCTCTCCTTGGTGATTCAGGCAGTAACCATGTACATTCTTTGTCCTGATTATTCTGTCTAAGCAGCTGCCTGATCTGAAAAGCTACATAATAACAATGCAGGTCAGGAATTCCTAGCCCACCTTCTTTATTTCCTTTATATTATATTGTATTTGATACTCTTGATCTCTTTCCTGTGTGTATAAATTTCTCAACTATTCCATGCCAGTTTTTCAAGAGATCCTTTGGTAATCCAACTGGAATTGTATGGAACAGATGACAAAATTTTGGTAGGACAGACATTTTGATGGAAGAGATTCTCCCCAACCATGTTAATTTCGGCTTCTTCCAGTTATGGATTAAACCACGTATCTATTGAATAATAGTCTTACAATTAAGGGATCTATTTAGAAGATGAATCATAATTCCCCCAAGCTTCCAGGAGAGGAAATGCACAATTTTTCGTACTTTATGTGTGTGTGGAGTGGGTGGGGGAACAGTCAGCTTCCAAAAGAACCTTAAGGGCCAGCATATAGGCCCAGGTTCCACTTTGGTCCACCCCCCCCTGTATTAAATCATGCAATAACCTAATTTTAATGCCTTTTAAATCAACACAGCGATGAAGATGATCTTCCCCCAGCACTGGCGGCAGCAGTGGGAGCCTCTCCACCACCCTCATCAGCATCTCCTGCTTCACATAAAGCAACTTCAGAAGGACATTTTTCTTCATGTACAAAGGTACCTCCAGTTAGAATGACAGGTGAAAAGGCTTAATGGATGAGGTCAATAGCAGTTAACGGCACTGAGTGGACCTCACATTTCACCAGCATATCAGAAAGCCCCCTATGAAATGCCTATGGGTCTCCCACATTCAGCTTGATTTATCTAGTCCTGGAGGTTAGGTATCCATGAAGTGGTAAACTTACAAAGCTATCTGTTATAGAGCACTGACTCGTAAACTATTGGGAAGTAATCTTTCAGAAAGTCTCATTTCTCAGAATTTTGATACAGAAAGGCACCCTTTTCAGGCATCTCTTCATCCTTCTATATTGTGTGAAAGCGCTACAATAATCCAAATCACTGCCGGAGTCAGTCCAAACCTCCTTTACATTGAAGCCAGTTGTACTCAGCTGTAAATCCTAATATTGGCCATTTGGTAGTTTCACCTCGGTTTGTTGGGCGTTGAGCTCTTGAATGTTTTTACATTCTTTTCATGTTTGTTTATGTCAGAAGCACCACAGTACAATTAATAAATATATCAGACAATTTTTCCCAGTAATGGGCAACATTAAGAGCATTTTGGAGAGCTAATATTAATTCTTCCATAGTACATGTTGAGCAGCATACAGTACACTGACACAGGTGTGCCTTTTCTTTTTAACTCACAAAGGACTATGTTGGTGCAACCCTCCCTCCAATTTCTGAGGCTTTTAGAGTGCCCTGGCATATCAGAATGCTTTGTATTGCTGTCATGTGGCTTGCAAATATGAGAGTTACATTTCATACAGGTAAAATGGTAAAATGAAGGCATGGAATAGAACTCAAATCCATTAATTGTTACTGAATTCTTGGATGTCCTTCAGAGTCCTACTGATACTGGAAGTACATTTCCCTTGGAACCTGGAGATCTTCTGATGGATTTCACGGAAGCCACACCTCTGGTAAATAACTTCATTTTGCAGCCTTGAGAATTAAGATTTAAAGGAGAATGTTAAAAATCCTTTAGAGAAATAATATTACAAATGTAGTTCATGCTCTAAGAATTTAGATAATGCTGTAATTGCCTGAAGTTATCTTGTGATTTGATTTATATATTCATAAATATGTGAACTTCTAGATTTCTGATGAACTTTCTGGCACACACTTTTAAAAAAAAAAATTAGCTTCAGACTTCTAAGATATATATTTTTGTAGCATCAAGCCTGGCAAACGTTATGTCATCCTTGGGATATCCCATGATTCTTGGGATTCTTTATTGCTTTGTAAGTTGATAGAATAACACTGTTATCCTGAATTTTCCTCTTGGTGCTGGCAGACTTTTGCTGTGCTATCAGTAGCAGCTTGGAATGTGGAGCTTTCTTTGGAACCACTGGGCAGGAGAAAAAGAATTTTGCATGCACTGATCCTGATTTGAGAATACTTACCCTACAGCTGTGTTCCGAAGTAAAAGAGGACATGTTCAGTACATTCACAAATTGCTTGTTTGGATATGTGTGACAGAATCTTGGACAAATCACATGATCAAAAAGGATAGCTTGCAAAAAAAAGAAGAGTAATGAGCACTGTTGGCTGCTTCTTCATTTTCCTTGTATCCGTCTTAAAGTGTTTGAAATCAGACAAGATAGGAATTGGCAAATTCCTTAATGTCTCTTTGTTTAACGCTTGGAATTACTTCCTCTGTGGGATGCCATCAGGCTGTACATCTCACTACACAATCCTGCTGTGTCGATATTTGCAAACAGCTGGAGGAGGGGAGCCTGATATTTCATGGGCACGTGATCATTGTACCACATTTTACTGCAGAATAATTTTCTGAGGGGTGGCAACTTCTACAACCTGATCAAACAAGAAAAACAGCCAGGTATCTTCTGCTGTATTTTTGTCTTTTCCTCTCCTGATATCTTGCACAATCTGCACTTAAAGGTTTGATGCAAGCAGTGCTTTCACTGAATGCCAATTTAAATTCTAAAATGTTGCATAACATTTGGAATACATTCTCCAGGGCGTGGGTGGAAGAAACTGGTTTGGAGTTGGAAGGTGGTGGGTGAAAAAGCTTTGACTATTAGCAAGTGTGACTTGCTGAATTTTTTAAAAAAAAGATAACTGCTTCCTTACATTTAAGAGAACCAAAACCACACAGTTTGTAATTAGATTCAAGAAGCTGAGACCAGCATTATATCCTTAACCTGACACTCTCTGACATGCACACGTAATGGTCTATTACTGTACCTGTGCTTGTGCTCAGAGAAACCATGTGACTTAACAAGCTTAACAGGGAAGTTAATTACCTTTGAATTCTATCTCCTGTGTGGAAACATCCAGCCAACAGAAAGTGACCCCTCCTTCCCAGGTAGCACCGCTCCTTAATATGCTAGGTAAGTATGCTTGTGGTCAAAATAACTAAATGTTACATACAGATGCTCGCAATATATAGCCAGGCACTTTAAAGGGGAGGAGAAGAGAGGAAAGGAAAGGGTTAGAGAGAGAGAAATCCCTATCCCAACTGGCTCCAGGTTTTGTTCTTGAAGTTGAATCTCAGGGTCTGATCCTACAAGTCAAATATTCCCTAGTCATACTCTAGTTAGATCACTGTATAAATTTCTGGTCACACAATGTGTGGTCCTTATTGCATCATTTTTCCCAGCCAGCACTGTGATTGCAGTTTATTTTAGGCCACTGCAAGGGAAGGTTGGTTTACTCTTCTTTCCAATGATCAAATGACCTGATTGTTAGAGTGAATCAATCCATTTCCAGAGTGCCACTACCTGCGCTTTTTTGATCTCATATAAGGGGCTCCTACTTTTTTGGTGCTGGTAAGTTAGCTCTAGTTTGCTTCATTTGCAGTATGTGCAATTGCCGAGAATGGACCAAAATCTCACCTTGTAGTTGTCAAAGCTGTCAAGGCTCCTTCTGCCATCCATTTCCAGTATCACGGATTAATAAGCAAGCCACTTCAGTTTATCACCAAGTTGAAGACTTCCCCTGCTCCTCTGCAGAGGGACAAGGGAAGTGAAATGAAATTTTCTTTGCCCCTGCTAGGCTATCCCTGATGTGCTGAATCGCTTAAATTAAAAATTTAAAAATTATTTTCTTTGCTTTTTTTATGAAGTATCAATGCAAACTGAAGTTGTAGGCAGTTTCTTGATCAGCACTACTTCTTCCTTAGCACCCCAGTACTATTTCTTGAAGTGTTCCTTTATTAAGCCACTTCATAATGCCAGAAATTGATGGTCGAAAGCACTGGACTAAAATGGCATACTCTTTCTTCCTCCTGACCTCAAGTAACCCTATTTAAACTGCACCAGATCACAGTAAAAGGGCCAGTGCAGTTACAGTTAGATTAGGCCTCTTTGAATCAATGGAACTTCTTTGACTCACTTCATACTGATTCAATGGGTCTACTCTGGTGTAGTTTCCTAAACAACAGGATTTTGGCCATGTCTGGCAAATATGGTTTTACAATAATGAATCATTGCCACTGGCCTTTTTGGATGGGTCTACTCTGGTGTAATTTACTAAACAACAGGATTTTGGCCATATCTGGCAAATATGGTTTTAAAATAATGAATCATTGCCACTGGCCTTTTTTGGCATGACAGATTCAGAGAATTGGAAGTAGTACTCTGATTCTAGGGTTATTCTTTTCCATAGCCCCATAGAATTCTGATAGTAGTGGTGGCTCATAGTGGTCACTAGCTTGTGGAAAACACACCAGGCATCTGTTTGCCATTTCCTCTCTTTCATTTGAGTTCCTGAGGCACCACATTGATTTCTTAGTCTGTTCCTGACATTTTGGGATTCACTTGTGTCCACAGTAAATACAGGAAAGGATCTTCTGGAGCATATTGACTGGAATGCTCAAAATCATCAAAAGCATTTGGGGCAGTTTGCTTCAAGTCTTCCATTGTACATTTTGAGGAGCATAGAGTACTCTGACATAGGTGTGAAGTAGCCTTCTCTGCACTCACAAAGGACTGTCAGTGTGTAAACCCCATTTCCTAAGGTTCACTTTCATTCTGCCAACTCCAATTGACAGTCTATTAAGTGACTCCCAAGTAACCCAGTTCTCAGTGTGGCTGGGGCTAGACTTCCTTAGGGTGAATAAAAGTTAATGGAAAAATCTGTGATTCTGCAAAAGAGATACTATTACTTTAGTTATCTTGTAATCCTTGTTAAGATTATAGAATTTTTGAAGTAGTACTGACAATGAACCATGTCATAGGCGGCTGAAGGTCAAAAAAAGCTACCCCCTGAGATCTTCCTAGTTTCCAAGCTATCCTCAATATGTTGCATTAAATGCAAGACCTTTGCTGTATAATTCTTCTCAGGTCTAAAGTGAGCCTTTTGTGAAATAAAAGACTTCCATTACATCGTTAAGAATCAATCTTTCCAGGACATTATAAAGATGACAAAGTAGTAAGAGCAGTCTGAAGGTTTTTTGGGGTCTGTGGGGTCTTTACCAAGTTTCAAAATAAGAATCATTTATCTTTCTCCACATTTTTGGAATGCCAAGGGAATTATTAAAGAAATGAATCTTTTTTTTTTTAGTTCAAACATTCAACGTTTTAGCTGTTCTGCATAGATGTCATCTAGGTCTGCTGCCTTGACATTTTTGAAGCTACAAATAGAGTTCTGCAATTTGCTTGAGCTGAATGGACTTGTGGTCTCCAGTTGCTTGTCTATTTTAAATTTAAGTTCTAATTTCTTATGGCGATGTTCCAATCTGCCATTTAGGAGGAGTTGATGGACTATTTGCTGAAGTGTTTGTATGAGGAGGGCCCTTCGTTAGGCTTTGGCCTTTTGGAGGCCATTTCATTTTTTTCAATCCCCTTCTCTCTCAATATCTCAATTGTTCCTCCTCTTATCTCTGAATGAACTTTGTGTAAGTTACACTAAATCCTTCACCAGAGTGCTCAGTCCACATGTTTTTTCAGATGTTTTCACTGTTTTTTAACCAACAGCCAAAACCCTTCATTTGGGAGACTATTTCTTATGTTGAGCCTTGTAGATAGTTGGTCCTGCATCCCCTGAGTATGGACAATTGGGATGATCTTTTTGCTGCCTCAATGAACTGGTCAGAGGCCAATGGGAATGGACAGATGTTTGCTATAATTCCATCCAATATTGTACTGAACTCCTGCTAGTTGGCTTTTAAATATATATATATATATCCTGCAGAATGGTAGTGTTCGTGGTCAGACTGCTGCCATGAGTTGACATATTATGTGCTATGTATTTGGAATCAGGGTACTGATTGATTTGATGCACTGCTGGGCTATCAGCTTGCTAACAAATTCTAGGTGCAGGTTATAGCCATATTACAGTCTTCTGCTATTGAAAGAAAGGGGAAGCTTACTGTCATGAGTAAGAGCTAGTTGGGAGGACTGTGCTCATTTTAGCACCTCTTCTGCATTATTATCATCAAGCACCTCTCCCAGACACTGCTGTGGCAATTTGAAGTCTGTGATCGTAAAATTCATCTTAGCTTATGAAAATTGCCCAGGGTTTCAAAGGAAAAAGCTGCATTAGATGGTTTATGTGCAATTACTTAGCTCCAATGTTATTATCTCTGTATCATCCTGTTCTGTGACAGCAGTAAACGACATATGGAAGTTGGATTTGATTAATATAGTGCTTCCATACTTTGTTTAGTTTTTATTTCTTTCCATTTCTCTATCATTCCATTAGTGTTGCCATTCTCTAGGAACTCTAAAATCGTACATTGAAACACTATATAATAAATACAAAAATACAATAAACCATGCTGCTACAAATACTGTTGTGAGATCTGTCAGCTGCAAATCTCATGCTGGATATTTTAGAGCAGGGGTCTCAAACATGCGTCCCATTTGTGGCCCTCCGGATGATAGTTTGTGGCCCCTGCCTTTCCTGCCCACCGAAGCGCCAATGTGTCCTCTGTTGTCAAGAGTTTAAAAAAAGC